GAGAATACGTTGAAGAGGAAAATATGAATATTTAATACAGTTTATCATATTATCTTGAACATGCTTAGTAAGTTCATGAAATGATAAATGAGGATCGAGTCGACATCGCAAAGGTATAGCATTCACAAACATTCCAATGATAGAGTTAAGCTCATCTCTGTATCGACCGTGTGTATTTATGCCAATGCAGAAATCGTTTTCTCCATTCGTTAATTTGAATAGAAACACGTAATAAGTAGCAAGGGCGAGATATTCAAGTGATATGTTATTTGATGATGCTTGAGTAAGAAAGTCATATGAGAGATCTTGACCAAAATCAAAAGAAATAGATGTTCCACGACCAGTTCGATGTTCATTTGCAAGGCGATATCGATCAAATGGTAATGATAAAGATTGATCGAGTTTATAATCATGAAGAGCATCAAGCCAAAACATACTTGCACCAGTCATTGACATTTGTTGTTCAATAACAGCATCTACATAATCAGAGAAAATAATGTGTTAGAAAAGACAAAGGTGCAAGAACTAATTATATTTACAATCGAGATAACGAAGATTAGTAGTGTCATCATATAGTAATTGACCTGTTGTATATGCTTGATTAAGATCATGAACAAATATATTCATTGATGGGTAATCAAAGAAAGCATGATGAAAGTTGAAGATAAGTATATCTTTATCAGAAAGAATGTTGTTAGAAGAGATTTGTTTATAGTAAACAAGATGACATCGAAAGACAAGACCTTGAGCAAGATCAAAAAGATGAGGATTACGTTTCTCGTCACGTAAGATCTCATTAAGTTGTTCATCTGTTTCATGAGTGGTTTTGATAATTGAAAATGTATTATTATTTTTATGGTTATCTTCATGAGTAATAACTCGTTGCATAAGTAGATTCTTTTCGATGTCAAAATGAAGTGATGTATGAAGTGAGGAATGTTTGTTAACAGTGAGATAAAGAGCATGACAAAGTTGTTTGATCGATAAAGTATAACCTGGTTGCAGACGATAAACAAAAGGCATATTATAGATTGCTACTTGTGGTTTTTCTGGATCGAATCGAATTTTTTCGTCAAGCCATATACGAGCTTGTGCAAATGATGCTGGTGCTAGAATGATGAGTGCTTAGTGAGTTGTAGTATAAGAGCTGGATAGCAAAATGATGTTTGATAACAAAGTTTAGCCAATTTTTATGTAATCGCCTTTTTAACGGAACAGAATCCGTATTAAGAGTGTTGATTCACTATTTTCTGTTAGTAATAACAAAAACTATTTTAATATCCCAGAATGAAAAGCCTAACCTCGTATGATATCGGATCCTATTTCAAAAATCGGTGAATATTATCCGCCTTCATAGAATCCAATAGAACGATTTTGACCTGGGAATTTTTATGCGCACTAATAGTACTATGTAGTAGTTTTATGGTAATGTTTATATAAAAATTACGATAGTTTGGCACTCTTATTAA